TTTTTTTTTTTTAATGTAATTGTAAATGGATTGTTTTCTTAATTTCTCTTCCAGATAGTTCATTATTAGTGTACAGAAATACAAACAATTTCTGAATATTAATTTTGTATCCTACTACTTTACTGAATTCATTTGTCAGGTCTAATAGTGTTTTGGTGGAATCTTTAGGATTCTCTCTATATAATATTATGTCATCTACAAATAATGGCAGTTTCACTTCTTTTTCAATTTAGATGCCTTTTATTTCTTTTATTTTCTCGTGTGATTGCTGTGGCAAGGACTCCCAATACTATGTTGAATGAAAGTGGTGAAAATGGACATTCTTATCTTGTTCCTGATCTTAAGGAAAATGCTTTCATCTTTTCTCCACTGAGTATGATGTTAGCTGTGAGTTTGTCATATATGGTCTTATATTATGTTGAGGTATGTTTGCTCTATTCCCACTTTGCTAAGAGTTTTTATCATAAATAGATGCTGGATTTTGTCAAAGGCTTTTTCTGTATCTATTGATATAATTATTTTTTTTTATTCATCAATTTGTTAATGCAGCATATCACATTAATTGATTTGTGGATATTGAACCAATTTTGCATCCCAGGAATAAATTCAACTTGATCATAATGTATGATCTTTTTAATGATTGCTGTATTTGGTTTGCTAATATTTTGTTGAGGATTTTTGCATCTATGTTCATCGGGGTTATTGACTTATAATTTTCTTTCTTTGTAATGTCTTTATCTGGTTTTGGAATCAGGGTAATGGTGACTTTGTAGAATGAATTTGGGAGCCTTCCCTCTCTTGAATTTTTTAGAATAGTATGAGAAGAATAGATGTTAATTTTTCTTTGAATGTTTGGTAAAATTTACCTGTGAAGCCATTTAGTCCAGGACTTTGTTTGGGGAGACTTTTTTGATTACTGATTCTATTCTTTAGTAGTAATCAGTAAGTTCAGATTTTCTGTTTCTTCTTGACTCAGTCTTGGAAGATTGTATGTTTCTAGGAATATATCTTCCATATTGTCCAATTTATGGGCATATTTTCTTATGATCCTTTGTATTTCTGTGGAGTCTGTAGTTATTTCTCTCTTTTTATTTCTGATTTTATTCATTTGAGTCCTCTCTCTTTTTTCCTAATGGTTCTGCTTAAAGGTTTATCAATTTTCTTTATTTCTTCAGGGAACCAGCTCTTGGCTTCATTAATCTTTTGTATTGTTTTTTTCTGGACTCTATTTAATTATTTAATTCATTTATGTTCTGATCTTTATTACTTCCTTCCTTCTACCTGCTTTGGGTTTTGTTTGCTGTTTTTGTTGTTGTTGTTGTTCTTTTAAAAATATGGAACACTTCACAAATTTGCATGTCATCCTCGTGCCTGGGCCATTCTAATCTCTGTATCGTTCTAATTTTAGTATATGTATTGCTGAAGGAAGCCAGAACATAATATTTTTTTAAATTAATGTCTAACAAATCTCTTTTAGATTATTTTTGTACATTTTTTACTTTATTCTCTTTGACCATCTAGTCATAGGACAACAATGTTATGACATCATTTTCTATAAGGAACAGAGAATAATTTAGTTTTTTTCCTAGCATAGTTTAGAAAAATTTCTTACAGTTTTATAACTTGTAGTTGGAAATGCCAAGCTATGGAATTGTAGCCAAATTTTTAAAAAATATCTATTAAGTCTATATCATACATAAACACTAAGATTTGGAATAAGATTCCAAAACTTAGCTTCTGGTTATACAAATTTCAAACCTTGTTTCTCATGCACTACTAACATACTTCCAGTACTGAGTACCTTGAGACAGAATTATATTACAGTATGACCTATGACACTGCAATTTGATGTCATGATGCACAGTGAATTGGCACAGTAGGAAATAGGAATATTCTGGGAAGCCGACTCTATAACACATTGACTAGTAATAATTTAAATATATATAAACAAATGACTGTTGTCCATATAAACACTTACAAATGTAACTGTACCCCCAACTCATATTCTTCTAGATCCAAAAATGTCTGTGTCCTTTCTAATATCACCTGATAAGTTAGGAAGTGTAACAAAGAAGAATGTGGAGTGGAAAGAGACAGTAGTCTTAAGTAATTATGCTTAAAAAACCTTACTGTTAAAGATTTTACAAAAACACACAACACATAGGAACACATCTGTAGGCTCCTTCCAGAACCTTAGAAGTGGCCAATGAAGTGAGGGGCTCAGATATTAAGCTTCATTAGCTTTACAGAAAATTTGTCTCTCGTGGAATGACAGACTCATACCATATTAGCAGAATTATTATTTTTTTGTCCATTAGAAACATTTGTGTGTGTGTGTGTGTGTGTGTGTGTGTGTGTGTGTGTGTGGTGGGAGTAGGAAGAGGAGGTGAGGTGCATGGCAATGTAACTATGTATGTTTCAGTCCAGAAATAGTTGACAAACTCAAGCTGGGAATTTATAATGGTTACCCATTAAGCTTTCTGGAAGTAAGATTCTTTACACAGTCACATTTCTTAATCCAAGTCATTTTTATCTCTATTCTTTTGTTAATTGATTCAAAAAAGAAGAAATAAGAGTGAGTCACAGGCATTTGATCCAAAATGTCTAGAAAGTACTCATAGAAGCAGGAAAAGCATTCTATAGTTGCCTATTACCAGGATTGTGCAGCTACAAGAGTTGACCTTGGTTTAATCAATATGATAAGAGTGATGCCTTTCTCTGAAAGCAAATTTGAGATGAAGATTCTCAGATCCTATTAATGTAATGCTCATGGGTAGAATGCCATATATTCTCAGTAATCACAAAAGAGAATAGATATCTACTCTAAATCCTGCAACCACAATAATGATCACTTTAGTTTTAAAAAATAAAAGACATAATTCAATATACAAATGACATATTATAAAATTGTACACTTGAAATCTATGTAACTTTATTAAACTATCACTTCAATAAATGTAATAAAATAAAAAGAATGCTGTCAAAAACTTGATTAAAATTATCTGTTTGACATCCACTTCTTATTGTTACGGAATATTCAGAGCTTCACGAATTTATCTGATGTTTACTACTATAAATTGATCATAAACACCTTTGCCTTGGATTCTAAATTATATATGTATATATAATTCAGAAAGATTTAAAACAGTAATAATGTCATAAAACTTTTTTCCAGATATAAATTCAGAAAACAAAACAATCAAAAATTATATTTTTGAAATACAACACAAAACAAAGTGTGCTGAAAAATCTGATTGCCTAACTAAGGAGTTGTCTTTTGCCTAAGATGATATTCCTTTTAATAATGTAGTTTCACCAATATTGTTAAAGATTTATATCTACTCAAATTTGTTCAGAAATAAAAATACCGTATTTATTTCAGAAAGCACATAAAAGATTCCCAGTAATCCCACTTTCATTAGTGTCTACCATTCGAGTACTTTGGAAGTCAATTTTTTTACATTTGTATATTTTAATTTGATATTGGAGAAGTTTGTGCTTAATCATTTATATTGACATTGTTTTATAATAAATAAGCCCATGTTAAATTATTCTATATGCAATAAAAAACACTTTTTCAAACTAATATTTTTATTCTTTTATTTTGTTTGAATCTTTTTCAGAATAATCTAAAAATAGAATCCTTGAACCTTTGTCTTTGCCAGCTTACTTTGTCAAGCTGATAAAGTAATACACTAAACTATCATCTTACTATCTGTGGTTATTGACTCAAAATGACAACAATGCTGATGATAGTTATTGGTTCAAGACTGAAATAAAGTATCCACAGTATATAATGCATCTTTACACTTATTTCAAAAAAGATGATGTACAAATTATATAGAGGACAAATTAAGTAATATTTTACTATGATATCAATCACACTGACAATGGTTCAGTCTATCATCTAGTTGGGTAAGAGGAATGCAAAATTCAGTGTGATAGTAAATCTTGGGTTTTCCCTTTCTCTTATTCGTATTAAAGAATAATAATAAAAAAAACTACTTGTGTTTCAAAACAAAGAAGCATTTGTATGATGTAGATCTTGGATTTTCATCTGTATTTTATAATATGAGACTGGAGGGCATTAAAAAAGAGATAATGAAAAAGAGAAGCAAACTTTTAAGCATGGAGAGACATCAAAACATAGATAAATGTGTCCAACAGAATGTCATAAGTATTTTAAATCAGAGATCATTAATTAGACTTATGTTAGGTTCTCCATGCATTGAATAGCCAATACTACATACCATAAAATATCAGTAAATGTTAAATACATGAATGAACTCTACCGATATAATAAACATGCTTATGAACATTTCTTGGTCTCTAAAATTAATCTGTTCATCTTTCCCAAGACTCAAACTAGAATATTCCCTGTATTAATTAATTTCTGAGTCCACTGCAGAAAGAGGAGTAGACCTAAATTTCGACCTAAATTTAAATATCAGAGTGTTATTACATAAGTATATCAACTATAAACAGCAAACATATTTCAATGCTCTGGAAGACAACTCAATAAGTTACAAGTAAATCATGGTTTGTATTCACCATCGACTTGCAAAACACACTGCTTATAGCACACAAGCCCTGATATTTTTATACATATGATGAATTAGAAGCCAAATCCAATAATATACACCTATAAGGGCCCCGGTGATTCTAATATAGTGAGTGTTTATATTAAACTGATTATGCTAACACTACTTCAGGTTGTGCTTAATGTTTTTAGTTTCTGAATGCTTAGCTTAATATATCACATACTAGCATTTCACCTCTGATTATTATTTTGTGTTTGTTTGTATGTGTTTGTGTGTGTGCATTAACAATAAAATATCATGAAAAAAAGATACCTAATTATTTTTCTTATCAATCCAAGCTGGATTTCAAATTTTATTTTTGGAGAGAAATTTTCAGAAACTAATAAGTTTTTTGTCCAAGAAATCAACATTCTGTTTATAAATCATAAAAATTTATAACTGCAAGAGACCATTTAAATGATTATACAATTATTCACTCTGCCTCTTCAAATAACTGCATTTTTGAAAAATCCAACATCAATTAATTTACCTAGTTTTCAGACTTCCAAAAATTTTTAGTTTTAAAAATTGCTCTGAACCTGGCCCAAAGGGGCAAAATTCTTCCCTAAAGTCTTCTCTACCCACAAGACTAAAGCAGTACCAAAAACAGACTTTGTCTAAGACTACTCTTCATAAAATAAAGCAATAATTTAGAAGCTATAAGGAAACAGACGTAAAGAGAGGAAACAGATGATTTCTAAAAAACAGACAGTAGGCCATTATAAAAAGATGAAAACAACATTATTTAGACAATTTGCTGTGGAAACAAATTAGTTTGACAAATATTTTTTGAGAGAATAATCAGTGCAAAACTCTACCAATATGCTCTAAAATTGGACAGAAAACAATTTTAAAAAGTCAGAAGCAGAGGGATTATTTCTTGTTTTTTGGTATTTGAGGAAAGTACAGTCATGCAGATATGAAGGATTATAAGCATGCAAAGCAAAGGAAGTAATAGGTAGCTGAGTTTAGTGAAGCACAGAGTATACAAAGGAAGCGTAGAATTGAAATATAGACTGAAATAATATAGAAAAAAAAAAACCCTCTAATTACCAAGCTAAGAATATTGGAATTCAATTAGTAAGCAATAGAAACCACTAGAAGCCTTTGCACAGAAAGGCAACCAATTTTATCAAGTCTATATTTTAGGAATGTCGTTTAAACATCAAACAACCTCACACAACACAAAACAGCCATTCACTCTGTTGTTTAACATTAATACAGCTAGGTGTTTTTATAATGATCAATCTGAGTCATAAACAAAATTTGTGAGATCAATAACAAAGTATGTAGGGGAGGTTAAATAAAAGTATAGTTTTTGTAAGCAATTTAAATTGTTATTAGTTTAAAATAGTTATAACTATAAAATATTTTATGTAAGCCTTATGTTAACCACAAACAAAATACCTAGACGATAAAAGAAAATGAGAAAGGAATTGAAGCATGTCTACACAAAAAATCAACAAAACACAAAGAAAGACAGAAAGAAAGAAAATGTGGGATGAAAAAGTTATGACAGAAAAAGCAATTAACAGAAAAGGAATAGTAAGGCCTTTTCTAAGAATAATTATTTTAAATTAAATGAATTATACTCCCCAATCAAAAGACACACAGCAGCTGGACAAAAAAAATTTTTATCCATCCAACTGTATGCTCTATACAAAAGACTCATTGTAGATTTAAAGATACACATAAGCTAAAAGTGAAAAAATTGGAAAAGGTATTCCATGCAAATGTCCATGAAAGAAGGAAGACAAAAGTTTACTTTAAGTCACAAACTGTTCACAAGTGTCAAATAAGGATATTATATAATAATAAAAGGATCAATTCACCAAGAAGATATACCAACTATAAATAAATATGCACTCAAATTCAGAGCACCTAAATATATGAGGTAAACATTGACAGAAATAAAGGGCAAAATAGGTAGCAACATAATCAATTTCATAAGCATTTAGATTCCACATATTAATGAGATCATGTAGTACTTGCCTTTCTGTCTCTGGTTTATTTTATTTAAAATAATGTCCTCTAACATGAGGTTCTAACATGTTTTCACAAATGACAG